ATACAGACGTTTATTTTGTTGGTCCGGGAAGTGAGCTGACAGAAGTCGCTGTCATCAGATAAGTATGTCATATGAGGGTGTCTGTACGTGATAAGGCAACCTCTGCAGCTTTATTAAGGAATAGCATGTTGTCGAAGTGGACCTATGTAGTTCCTTTAGAGAAGATAGCCTAAGAAGAAATGCAAATTTAATAAACTATATGTATGATGTATCTTTTATGTTCCGAATGTTCCCTGTTTAAGAGATCAAATATTGACAGTAGAGGCTCTTTATTAAGTTACTGCTGCTGATGAGTATTACTGTACTACAGGAAAGAGCCTGCATATGATGGCCGGACTGCCTGGAGAGAGGCCTTAGCTTTGGAGAAAGGGAAAATGGAAATAAGGGGGAGACACAGGGGAGGGTGTTCTGATGGGGTGAGGGATTTGCTGCAATCAGCAGACACGCTCTCCACATTTGTATATTTCTATTATGAAAACCTGAAAGAGCCCTTCTCTTCCCTCAGAAGTGTCTTAAAGCGCGCGCGTGTGTGTGTGTACACACAATTGTGCATGCATGAAACAGTGTTTGTGTGGGTGTGTGTGCGTGTGTGTACTGGTGTAAACAACCATCAGCCATTGACTTGCCCTGTGTGTATCTTGTGTATCACTTTACCGTGGTAAAGTGGCATGTATGAGTTTCCTTTGTATTTTCGTGCCACGTATGTATGCACTACTATAACATATCTCTGTACAGTCCCTCATGGCCAAATGTATATACTGAATGTATTGTATGGGGACATAGAGGCATCAAGGTTCAAAATAAATAAAATTGGGTTTATGAGTTAATGTATGATTTAATGTTTCAATGAAATTTCTTCTGTTGTGTTTTTTTGTGGACACACTACATTAAAGCAAACATAATTATTTAGCAAGAGAAAAGCTCCTTCCTGTATCTTCACCATCGCCTGTTACCATGGTGAAGCCCTTCGATAAATAGTGAAGAGCAACCATTGTTTGAGTCAAGGACAGAATGCTGCAGCTATTATCAGGCCAGTACTCCAGCACTTGTTCTCCTCTATTGATCCACTTTGTTGCACAGTCCTGTAATATATATTTTTTTCACTCTGTTGTTCATCCCAGTAACGTTTGCTTCATGTGCATCTGTCAGAGGCTTGCTAGTCCATATTACAGTTAGCTTCCCTGCTTCCAGTAATCACACCTCTGGCCTCTTTGATCATAAAGTTTATTGCAGCATTTTATGCATGTAGGCTATTTCTGTCTGCGCTATAAATTCAATGAAGTGTAAAACATATGATTCTTGGTATTTGAAGAGAGTCTTTGCCTCAAGTAACAGATTTAGAGGGCAGATCTGAGCCAAGAGGAGACAGAAAAGTAGTTTTGATATAAAATGGTAATGCTTTATTTTATGGGTCTGTTTTAAGGGTCAAGTTTCCTTGAAGAATCCTGTATTTAGGTGCTAACAATGGGAAAATAAACTAAACTCCTTCAAAAAATGCTTGCCTGTAACCAAAATAAACATTTTTGTATAGATGACAAAAGGAGGGTTATACTACCAGTTATTCTGAATTAAGTAACTGGATGTAACTGAACTCTCTATTTCCCCTATAATAAGTACTGATTTACATTGCTGTATATTGCTATATATAAATAGCAAATCCATGTTTTATGGATGCTTTCCTACAACAACAGCAACATATCTAGTTGTTTTTTATGCTTCTCTAGTATTTTGTACAGTATAAAATCAGTTTTCAATATAAGCTCTTTGCACTGCATTCATTTCTGTGATTGTGGATACTTTCCAGCCAGACACATACTCACATGTTATCACACCCCCTGTGGTGCCACTGCTACATGTAAATGAAACTGTTCAGTGCTGTTGAAATCCCTTACTTTAAAAACCTTTCCAGAACTGTTGCATTGTGACAGCAAAAATTGTTTTCACACAGCACATTTTTGCCCCCAAAAACCCAAAAATCTGGCATTCAGGGAGAGCACAGGCAGGGGGTTGATGAAAGGAAACCTAGACCATTCACAACCTCTCGAGTCGTTTGATAGTAGGCAGAATCTGTAATGCACACACCTCAAGTTTGGCTTGTGCAGTAATTGACGGCCAGATAGTGAGGGCTTTGTATATGAGGCTGTGGGAGAGACAATATTTTTATGATATCATGGTGAGTAAAATTATAGACATTACTGTGTCATTTTGTTTCTTTTTTGGACACTTTTCACCGGAAATGACTGTAAAATTCTTTATAAGAAATGCAAAAAAACATACTAGAGATTTAGTAAAACATTGTTCAATAACAACACTGGCTACACACATGCTTCTGCACTGCATTACTTATTTCAAATGTTATATTAGATGTAGTTGTAGCTGATCTCAGTCAAATCCACAACTTCAGACAAAACGAGGAGAGAAGCTATTATAAGTTTCCTCCCAGGGGTTTGTGCATGATCTTTGCCTCTCCCTCTGCTGCAGCTCTGTTCTCCTCCAGAGGAGCTCCATCAGGGGTTAAAGCACCTGGGATAAAATGCATCAAAGAAGCTTTTGTGGACAAAAAGAGTGCTGGAAAAAGGAAGAGAGGAAGAATAAAAGCATGGCTTGAAAGCAATGAATGGGCCACAAGGGGATAAAATGGCCTTGTGTCCATCAGGACCCCATTTCATATTCCGCTCAGTCACGCCCGGCAGAAAGCAATCTCAGGTAACAGACCATATGTTAATAACACGTGGGTTGCCTCCTTTCAGAAAGACAAAGCGGACTGAGGGCATTATGCCAACTCTATCCTTTCCTCCTCCTCTGGCACGTCGGAGGATTTCATCTGGAGAGAATAGTGTCGGTATTGTTCTACTTGTCTGTGAGGGCTTGATTAGAGGAGCTTTTACACCATTTCAAAAGGTCTGGCATTGATGATTTCTATTGGCTTAACATATTGCCTGTAATGACATGGTGCAAAACCTTGCTCATTACCTGAATCCCAGGTCACTGTGGGAGTAATTGGGCAGATTTGTGCCAGCTTCAAAGCTCCAGGCTTGATTCATTAGCAAGGAATCTTTCTACATGTTAAAGCCATTTCCTGTTCCTGCTCAGAAGTGCACCGATATGCCTCCACCACACGTCACTGCGGTAACAGCTGAAAGTTAAAAAGAGCACACGGAGAAAATCTAACAAACTCTTACGGGTTGGAGTGCAGTGTAGGCACTCTCTGATGGCTGTAGCAAAGCCCAATGAACAGCGTCTATATTGATTTAAGTGCCAGAATAGACAGATAGATAAAAAATAACAGCTTGCTTTCTATGATTTCTGCTCCCTCTGAGAACTTCAAAGTTGGTGGTTCACTTGTGATGGTGAGTGCCACCAGCGGGTACAATACAGCCCCCTATTAAAAAGAAGAAAAAACCCTTAAGATTCACCTCTCTCTCATGTAGGGCCTGCTGCCATGACAACATCGCCTTTATTCCTAGAAACTTAAGTGAAATAAATACACTCTTTTAGATGTTTTTGGACTAGCCGGGCCTTATAGGTCTTACGTCAGATGCGATGTAAGAGTCAAATAATATCTATCGGTTCATATAGTGAGGTGTAATTTCAGCTCTGTTTTGACATAAGGTTGTATATAGAGGATTTAATATCAGGCAGGGTCCTTAGAGATTACCTACAGTCAATACTATTCTCACAGCTGACAACAAAGGGGACCTAAATGTGGTGTAATAACAGCTTCTCTGTACCATATGTATGGCAGCATTTCACACACCATCGAGTGTCTCCATGACAACTTCACATGATTTCACACAATAAATTGCTGAAAGTATCAGGGAAGGTGCAGTCTAATTCATAAAAACAGTAAACAGACACAATGCACTAGAGCTTGCTGCAACACTTACTATACTTTACAGCTTACTAGCAACAGAAGTACATAAGAACCACATGTCTTACTGGAAATCAATGCAGAAATACTGTACAATCCTCCTGCTTGGTTTATTCCACTATTTCAAGGCAAGGACAGCCGTCTCCTTTCTTAATTTGCTAGAAAGCCGATGACTTTTATTCACTATTGTTTTGTTGAAGCTTTGACACTCTTTCCTTCAGCACAGTGGAAATGCTTTATTTTTAAAACACCCTTGGAGGCAGTTGGAGGTGGAAATTGCCCGCAGGTGTGCATGCATATAAAATGGTAATGGGGACAGACGGACACAAAGCGCTGTTTGGGTGCCGCGCTCATGAAAGGGCAATCCACTGATTGAGCTGTCACATTCACAGATGCAGTAATAAAATTAAGCAGGGCAATTACTGTAGATGGAGAACGGTAGGTAGCGGAGGGGGGCACGCAATATGTCCTCCCCTAAAATACCCTGATGGGAGACAACGAGACAAAGCAAATGTAGCCCTCTGTAATAAGGCTGGGGGAGAAAAAGGGGGGGGCTCAGCTAATGGTAACAATGCTCACAAGCACAGAAACATCTCAGCGGTTGTTAATAAAGCTATCACCTTATCTGTGCAACTTCCTTTTTTTCCCTCTTACCGTCTCAGCATATTGCCTTCTTTGACAAATGAAAGCCCACAACTACAATGAAAACAACCATTTCTCAAACACTGTTCAACAGAGGGCAGATCAAGAACATGATTTAAATTTGGGAGAGGAAGAAAGCAAATAAGCAGCATGTCTGCTAGTATGGCAATCAGTCATGGCTGGATAGAAATAAACTACTGCATTGCCATCTAGTGTACAAATATGGGAATTACACTGGCTGGAGTAGACAATGTAGTGTGGTGTTTGCGGCACATTTTAATACTCCGACCCAGTACTTACATGATTACATACGCTTGTACGATTAAGAAGCAAACAAATAGGAAAAATGAAATCCGAGCAGGCTCCGGGTGACCTTATAATACACCAGCATCCAATAGAGAACTTAGACTGACTAGACCAATGCTATACATTTATGGTCAATGTCACCTATTAAATAACAGGAAGATAGGCTCAGGAGCTGATGAGGTAAGCATGATTCAGTTTATTTAAACTGTAAGTCTAGTCACATCAATAAGAAAAGGATGACCTTTGTGGAGCTCAGTTGAAATTGTACTCCATGTAAATAGGGGGTAAACATGTAAGAAAAAAAATCTGTATGCTGTCTAAAGACATAATTTATAATTTCTGGGTAGCGAGTTCTTTCCAGCTCTCTCCGCTATAAAAGCCTTTGTCCGTGGGGTATAGACTCAGAGTCCTGGGCCTCCAGCAAATATGAGCTCCAGGGCAGCCTGGATGTCACCATCTGTGGCCTGCAGCGCCCTCAGCATCAGCTCCTCATCCTGGATCCCCATGTCTCTGAGCTGCTGCATCTGGGACTGCCAGCGGCCCTGCCAAAACAAAAACACATTCGCTGAATAACTCTTTTGACCAAAGACCAACCAACGACACCACAGTCTAAAGGACCAATCATTTTTAGCTCTGCATAAACAACTTTACAGCTGCAGTATAGGGTGTAACACTGATACCACACAAATACAAATCATCTACCAGTAAGGATAGACAGTTACTATTTAGATACTATTCTATCACAGTACATTTCCTCACGTGGACTGAATATGTGGGATTTAGTCGATGAGTTTATAGCCTCACCTGTAGAGCGGACATGTTGGAGGCTTGCAGAGCTTGCTGTAGAGCCTGGCTGAAGAGATCGTTACTGACTGGGGTCCCTGCTGACATTGGGGCTACACTACTGGAGGGGTCAGCCTAAATCAAAGACAGAATGAAAGAATAAAAAGAGATAAATACATAGATAGATACATTTAAAAAAAAAGATATAAATACATTTAAGCATTCATCTGCAGTAATGTAGCCAGGTGTCGTGGCAGATATTATGTTTTTAATACATATAAATGTCAGAAAAAAATTCTGATTATCTTTTTCCAGATATAAACAAATCTCACCTGGCTTGAAGTTGTTGGGGTGACCGCACTGCTGTCAGGAGTGCTGGCAAGGGCCAAAGCCGTTGCAAGCTCGCTCTGCGTTATTGGTCGGGGGGCCCGTTGCTCCGCTGTGGCTCAGGGACACTGGACGCATTCCTGCTGAGCCTCCTGCTCTGTTGGAGGGACCTGCTGGGCTCCCCTGTTACACACATTTAGACACACAGAAAGACATTAAGCCCCCCCCAAGCATCATCGATTTTCCTTTTTACGCGATAATATCTGATGTTGAGTATCAAGCAGAGTGACTCACGGACTGGAAATCTTCGTCATCGTCAGACATGCCCTCAAACATAAAGCCTCCTGCCAGATAAAAAGAAATATTTGTGCATTTATATCGAGAACGCAACTACATCTGATTAATAAAAATCAAATCAAAAACAAGATTAGAAAGGAAAGACGAAAACAAGATGTAAACAACAATGTCTGTGAAACAATTTACAGTATATAAAAGATTGTCTTTGAAAACTACTTTTATGTTATGACTCAGTTCAATGGTTTTAATATCTTGAGCTTGGCATTGGCAATTCTTTCTAACTGTTAGCGATCCGCTCTTGCTTGCCGAACATTCCGCCTGGTTTACTGCGCCATCTTTCCTGCTCACCTGGCATATCGCTGTAAGAACTGGCGGAGACGTTGCGAGAAGAGCTGGCACTGGACTGCGCGGGCATGCTGCCTGCCACAGAATGCAGGACCAGGATGATGGCATTGACGAGGGCTGGGTGTGAATTCATCAACCTATGAAACAGACCCAAAAAAGCACATTTAAATCCCCTTCCACTTGTGTGTCTGTACTGTACTCACTTCATATCATACCACAGCCAATAACGAAGAAACCCCACACTCACACATCCAGCATGTTAGGGTCTGTGAACTGCACGAAGAGATCTTTGTCTTGGAGCACCCCTGAACAGGTAAACAGGGTGTTAGTAGACATCAGTTACTATTTGCAGATGTGCATGGTGCAATGAGATGGCTTAACAGTATTTATTCAACTCAGCATGTCTTACCTAGAGCAACTGGGTCTGACCTGAGCCCTGGTGTTGCCACTATGATCTGATCCAGAGACTCTTTATTTGTCAGCATTTTATATACCTGTGTGGGGAAAAGACAGTAAGTCCTGTTTGTATAGGCGTTATCTACAGATCCTTTGGATAGAGACATACCAACTTGTGAGACAAAAATTAGCAGCAACCAATGGGACCACTTGACAAAAACATTTTAAATCAAATTATAGCTCCCAAACAATGTTTTAACCATCAGCTACGGAACAAATCTCTGGTGTACCCCATATAACCCACTGTTGATTCTGCTCTCTCTTTGCAAAATAAATTTTTTCCAGGACAGATCAGAATACACTATAGATGCTGCAGTCTATTGACTATGTGTTGTGATTTAAAAGGTTTGTCAACTGACCCCATCTGCTGCTCACACGTATCCCCATACACATCTGTGCCAATATTGGTAGATACATATCAATACAAGTGAGTAGCTCACAGTTTATGCCCATTCCTGTCTGAACTATCCTTTTATCACTCAAGCCAACATGCTTGTGTTCTAATAGCGATTGTGCCTGTATACCATGGAAAGGTGCCAGCCTAAAATATCTAAACCTGTTCCTGTTGAGGATAATCTTTAATTTGTAGTTGGCCAGGGTCCTGTTCACACATCATTCAGGTGAAGGATGTGTGTGTGTGTGTGTGTGTGTGTGTGTGTGTGGGAAAGTTAGTATAGTAAAAACACCCTAATGCACTCCTGTTTTCCAAAACCTACTTATATTTTACTGCAATTTACCACCTCTGTCAAATAACACCATGTCCCCCATCTACCCTCTTCTCTTGTTTAATTGCCAAGTGCAAAAAACTGTTTTCCTACAGATATAATAATCGAATTCAAAGAGGAGTGGGGTGTCACCATGAGCAGTACTGTGTTTGCCACTGTATGTGTGTGACTCACTGAGTCTCTGTAGGCTGAGTTGAGAGAGTGAAGAGCAGCATGAAAAACCCTGAACTCCCTGGCTGCAGTTGCTCTGTTCACAGGCTCTACAGAAGAGAAAAAGAACACACACGTTCAGATTCAGACTTTCAGTTTCGCTTACAGTACAGCTTAAGCAGGATTTCAATGCTGACATGACAAACACACAGACCTGGACTGCTCTCTGGCTCTGGCCATGTCTTTTTGACGATGTGTAAGGTGGATCCCGGTTGAATCCCACAGGCATCCAGTGTTAGGTCATCCTTAAGTTTCCGCCCACAGTGGACCAGCTCTGATAGGAAGCAGAGACACATAGCTTTGATACAGATCAGACAGTATACACAATGCTTCTGCCAGTAGCACACACAAACACTGAATCTTATTCACATCATTTATTATGTTCAAACACCACAGCGGTAACAGACCTATGAGTTCAGGGTCTGGGACGGAGTCTGCGAGCTGTGCTGCAACAAGTTGTTTTAGAGTAGCGACTCTGTATCCTCCAGGTGAAACATCCCCTGGCATCATCTCTGGGAAGTGGAAGATGGATTTGGGTTGATCCACCAGCTTCAAAGACAGCTGCCAGTCTGAAGACGCCATCTCTACCTTATAAACAAACACAGACACTTTGGACGGTAACTACACAAGCTGGATTTGATTAGTCATTGCTGGTGTGAGCCTGAGGTTCTAACCTAAAAGGAAAATGATATCATGATTTCATTACCGCTATGCTTTCATTCAGAGAGAAGTCAGAGAAAATAAGGACACTCTTTTCAGTACCACTTCCTCACTTACATAGATTAAAGGTTAGACGAATAACACAGTTGTTTTTTTAGAGGAGGGAATCGTGACGAAGCTCAGTATTATCTTCATATGAATCTTTTTGCAGGTATAAACGTGAAAAAGTTATGTTAGCAAACCTGCTAAACCCCGGTTAGCTGCTTATCGTATTAAAAAGCGTAGTGATTCACTCAGTAAATGTGAGCTATTCGTATAACAGAACTGCTTCTAGCACAATTACTTGATAACGTCAAAATAAATATCATTTAGAAAGGCCAGGACAGTTGTATTCTCTGTGATAAATACCGCACACTCACCATCTTTTTGTTGACACTCGGCTCACTTCCTGGTTTCAGTCACGTGGTCTACGTGACGTTTACTTCCACCGGTCCAAACAAAGGAGTTTTTACTTCTCTGTATTTTTAACTGTTCACAATCACACACACATATCTCAACACAAACATTTTTTTTTAACTAAAATTAACAATCTAAAGCAAAAGCCTTACATTATAGATGTCTAAAGCACTACATTGTGCCCATACACCTATTTTGTTTTAGGAGTAAAATATCTATTTTTCATGTGCTGCACACCAAAGGTTCCCAATTGATTTTCCTTCTGCATATTTTCCAGAGCTGTCATGTCTTGGGCAAATGTGATTCCAGGCAACAGTTTCACGGTCTGCGTGTCTCATTTTAGGCCACATCGATCTCCAGTCTAACTAAAAGTATAATTATGAGGCGAATCTGGTGTTTGGAGTATAGACGAGTATAGACTATATGGCTAAAGAGCACAAATGTATGCCAATAGCAGATAATACCACAATTTAAAAAAGTTATAAAATATTCAACAATCTGTCCAAGATTGAATTAATCAAACAACTGCATTAATTACCACAAATATCCTTACATACATACATAGTGGGCACGGTAATGTAATGTAGTTACATCTGCTTCACATGTACTGCATATGCTGCAGTGATACGTTCAATGTCCGTAAGATAAGTCAAAACTACTTCTGCGGTAGGCTATAACAATGAAAAAGTAATTTCGGGTGGGCAGTATGGGGCAGTATGAATGAAAACATACATGTATTATACAGTCTATGGCAATAAAACGAAGTGGATACCGGTGTGTTCACAAATGGTTAATCTGGGGTCGGGACTCTCGAGACTCTTTCCCCCCTCGGTATGACATCACTGCTGGACAAAGCAGCAAGGAGTGGTTTCTGTGAAGAGAAGCGCCCCAAATCAATGGCTCATACCCATACACTCTGAAAAATCCCCCCTACAGCTTTATCCACCGTCAAAAACAAAAGTGTGTGTGCGTCGGCAGCGGTTCTACTTGTGCTTTTTTTCAACAGGAATGAACTACTCTGGAAAATAACATCGGCTGTGCTGCTGGTCAGAGAAGAGAGTCGCCGCCGCTGGATGGTGGCTGCTTTTTAACTTTCGCCTTCCTAACATGGTAAGCCCTGAGACACTGTGTTTAAGAGCAGAGCTAACAGAGCGCCTATCCCATGTAAGCTAATGGAGAAAGATAACTGTTTCAACTTTTCATTTGTAAAGACGAGCAACAGCTGGCGGGGAGCAGCAGAACCCCATGAACCCGGGGCAGGGGGAACTGGTTCACACAGTTGGCTCTGTTCACTGGCAATGCTTGCTCTTCTTTTCTTTTTTCTTTCTTCTTTTTTTTAAAAATAGTTTTAAAGCAAGACAGATGCGTGCTAAGCTAATAGCCTACAGTATACAGTTTCACAGATTGAACTAATGCCATTTATGAATGAAAAGGACTGCGCCCCCATTTGAGAAAAAGGCAACACTGCATCTCTGCATAACTTCCATAACTCAAAATGGGGTCTTACAAGTAACAGTTACGTGTTTATATTTACTGGGAGGGGTGTACTTTATCCCCAGCCTGTCATTGAGATCCTTTGTCAGTCGGTTGTTTTTAAAATACATCCTTATCCAGTGCATACGTTCCACCCATACAACTATTTGTGGGTGCATAGTAGTCTACATAGTATATATATGTATGTATGTGTATGTATGGACATAACTTAAGACTTGTTTTTAATTGTATTGTTTCTTTTCTCTCTCTCTGTCTGATTTGTAGATGGGATGAACTGTGTCAGGGTGGGTTAGGTCATTGTGGTTCCCAAGAAGGGCTCACAGAATAAACCTGAGGGATCAATACAGGATAAACAAGATAGAAAAATGGTAGAAAACAAAATTCCCTCTGCACTGAACTATAATTATTTATTCAGACTTTCTTTTAATCTTTGCTTCTTTTTTTTTTCTTGCAAAGTGTTTTACTCTAAAAGTGATTCAGATACGCCAAAGAAAAAAGAGAATCACTCTTTGGTTGAAGCGGTCACAGCAAGAGGACACATACAGGAATGGGAGGGTCCATGTAATCATTCCTTAGTTTTTAAGGGGTCACAAGCAAAAATCCGTTGGGAAACACTATGACAGGAGATGCCGTACTCTGGGCTGCAGTGAGGATGTTGCCTGGCTCATGCTGCCCTTATCACATGATAGTGCAGCTGTGCTCTGCTGGCAGGTACAGTTTCCGGTGGGATGTAGGAGGATGTAGTATTTCCCATTCTGACAACTTGCCCAGGAGCCAATTTCTGATGTAGTCGCAAGATAATGATGTTATTTGACATTGTGCAAGATGCTCCACCACATTATTTTTTTTTTTGGGCCAGAGATGTGATTGCAGTTTTTGACAGTAGGCAGTTCATGCTATTTCATCTCCACCTTAATGCACATATATGTCAGGCTGCCGTAAGATAAAGGTTACACTAAATTGGCTCCTGTGGCTTTACAAAAGCAGGATCTTGGAGTGCCTGTCACATTGCCTACTGATCCTATGCACTTTTTCAGTCTTGAGAAGACACATATGCCCTACAGTTGTCACTGCCTCACTTGCTAATTATCAGTCAGATAAAAATATACAGTCTAGTTCTCTTGGCTATTATTGGGTGGCTGTATGGGACTGATTCATGGCATAGTGTGAATGGTAAATTAGTAATTATAAAGAAAGTTGGAATATAAAACTTTCATACAACATTTAATCCATAAAGCTTTCTTGAAGTTTATGGGGCTCTCCTGTCTTCAGCGTGATGAGCTAATGTGTAATATGACTGAGTAACGCGTTAATTGACTTGACTACTATGGGGAACATCTCCCTGCATTAGGTAAATCCAGTCATCCTTTAAGACGGCTTGCTAAACTCTCACCGCTGCTGCCATATGGATTTGAAAGGCGTTGTTGGGACCGGTGTCTTCCAGGTTGGAAATGTCCCTTTCATCAAGGGTTGAATGGTTCTCAATGGTTTGCGGTGCTTGGCAGTGGTGGCAGCCATATGCCAATGAACATTTTAGCCCAGAAGGTCTGTCAGATTCATAATAGTGTTAAAGAATGGCTTTGTCATCCGGGAGAGGAGTAGAGTCAAGAGCAGTAGTGTCAGTAAAAAGATAAACGGTTAGAAAACCACTGTCACAGTTTTCTCGAAAGAATACTGCAATGATACAGTGACCATGGCGAAATTGTAAATCTTAATGTTCTGTGATACTTTAGGAGTCATTTCTCTTTTCTCTGACCTCAGTAAGAAGCTTAATAATCCTTAGCGCTGTGACAGAATGAAATACACTGGTGATTATGGCTCAAAAGCTGCCGACCAATCACTAAAAGAAATTTAATACATTCAGACTGTCAAACAGCCCTTCAGTGACTGTTTCTTTTCCTTTTTAATGGTCTTCATTTTAGAGAGCACCATTTTTAGTTAATTCCCCCAACAGCATTGGAATCTGAATAAAGAGCTAGCAATCTTTTTGATACATCAGTGTAATATATTGATGGATAATAGAGATTTTTTTTTTTAAATACAACCGTCTAACAGTAAAAGTTTATTGTGTCATTATATTCTTTAGGCGGCGGCTAGCAGGTGGGGTCAGCTTGTTTTGATCTCTGACATTGAACCAAACCATTAAAGTTAAATTGTTCAAAGAAAGGAAGAAAAACGCATTTACGTGCTGGCATGGGGTCAGTTTAGTACTTGAGTCATTCAGTAAAAAAAAACCCTTTGATGGCTTCCTGGTGTCTGCACAACACAGACAGAGTCAGACTGCGGTTTGGTGTGTTGGCACATTTCTGTTCATGTTGTCCGCGGGGAAACTAACAGATATATTTACAGAAATCCTACCCTTTTTGAGAGGACGGTTGTGATGTGTCTGGCCCTTTCTTCATTGAATATTTATTCCCGTTTTTTGAACGTCTGTACAGTGAATAACACATATTCCCTGCCTCTGAGGGGAAATATCTTGGGAGGTTCAGTGTTCCAAGAGTCTCTTTTGAGTTGGTCTGAGCGAGCAAGTGGTGAGTGTGCTGTTATGGAAACTTTGTGATGAAGCTGCAGTCCTGCCCACATCCTCTCTGCTGAAGCCATAACTGGAGCCTCATGGAAAAGATTTTGGTTAAGCCATGAGGTGGAGCTACAGCTGACAGCAGTATTGAAATGATTCATACCAAAACATCCTGACTGATCTGATACCTGCCATCCAGTTTAAATGCACTTTTATATGTTTAAAACATATAAAATCAAACTTTGCTGACCATCTAATTGTAGATGTATGTAGACATTTAGCCACTCAAACATAAGGTTTCACTTATGCTGATTGGTGGGAGACCGTAGAGCATCTAGCCACACCTTGATGTTCAGAGTTGTTCATCGGAGTTGTGAAGCACCCACAGTAGTTAGCTGTAAACACTGGGTACCACTCATGTGGCAAGATGACGTAAATAAAGTTGGAAATACTTCTCTCTAATTAGAAAACTATAGGTGGATTAAATGTTAAAAAGACAGTGTGGATATGGAAAACTGGTCTTTTCTGTAGCAACAGTGTTTAGAAGCTAACTTTGTCATTGGTATTTTCTATCAATCCATAGTCATAAATGCAGTTGTCTAACAGAAACCAAAAAAACAGAATGCATGTGACAGCATATGTATTGTGTGATCACAAAGCCTAAAAGGGTGAAACTGCAATGTTACACTGCCAAACTAAACCAATTAACCAGACATGCCATAACTCATTCAGCCAAACTCTTAAGACAGGGGTGGGGGTAATACACAATTTTGTCGATAAAGAAACTAAAAGACAGGGAGAAAATGAGATTTGACAGCTTTCAATGCTTCACTGTCGATGCAGAGCCTTTTAAAGTGCTCTGAGAATATTAGTGTGGACAGAAAACATTTTCACTCATAAGCATCATCTTTAAATATACACGATATTGCGCACATGGTCAAAATAGAAGTCTCTGGCTGGAACTGGGTTCTCTCTGGATAAAACCCCAAGCCTTAAAGACACAGTGTGTTTTGCCTTACTTACCTTTCCTTTGGTGACTCCCACTGGTCACATCTAAAAAAAGACACAGAGGAAAGCACCCCTATAGACAATGAACAAATGGGCTGAAAGCAACGCATAGTCTGTACCACTTTTCCCCAGGATGTCTAATTTTTCCTGCAAACAAAAAAACTCATGCCATCAGAATAATTTAATTCTCTCATTGTACAGACAGCTATTCATAGGAAACGAGCAATAGAGAGTACTGGCAGACTGGGCCGATGTGGATAACTCACCATGAAGCGATATCAGAGTCGGGGTTTATTGCTAAGTAGGTTTTCACATACAAGGAATTTGTTTCGGTATATTTGTGCATAACAATAAAACTAGTACGGGAAAAATATAAATAAAGATGAAAGCAAGAACTGCAAGTCAAAAAGCATGAATAGAAAATAGAAAATTGACACTAACATGAAGGAAATATTATAAAAACAAGAAAAGACAACATGTACACTATGACTGTTGTTTAAATGAATGAGCTTTACAGTTTGTGTACAAATGTCCCAAATATTGTCCAAGTGATGTGATGTGATGTAATGCAATGAGGAAGTGAGTGTAAAGGGAACAGAAAGGAAGCTTATGTGCACTTTCCCATATGTGCTAAGAAATTATACCATGTTAAATCAGTTATTGATAGGAAAAGAAATTATGTGTGACTGCCGCTAAATTGTTGCTCACATCCTTTTCTGCTTGGGGATATGTCTCTTTCAAAAACCTCTGTTTGAAGCTCATTAAATTAACAAAAACCATCTCGCAGTAACCCCATACAGAGCTCACACAGATTAACGTAGCAAGACAAATCAACACAATACATCAAAATACTGACATTCACAAACAGCAACAATAATATTGCACTTACACAAAAAAGATGTCTGGAGAAGATATTCTTTTACTTAAATTACTTTGTACTTTACTTTTATTTTTCAGTGGGGTCACTACTCTTAAATGAAGTGGAAGTACCCTGTTTGCTTAATATTCAAAATGCTGAGTATGTCTGTTCTATTAACAAACTCTCCCCCCTCTCATTATTTCTTTGTTTCTGTCTTCTTCTTTTTTTCTGCACACATGTACACAATAGATGGTGTTTATACAGCTCTGCACAATATGTATTCATCTTATTGGTTTTTTTTTTAGGGATGCACAAATTCTGAAATTCTTGACCGATACATGTGTATAGATGTTATTTTGTTCTTTGTTTTGTTTGAATTTGGGTACATGTTGTGCGAATAACCAAATTGGAAATAACCAACACAACATTTAGCCACCACAAAATTGATGCGACACAACAGATAAACTCTGTCCACTGATATTGGTGAATGGTTTGTTTTTTTGCCGATAGGCCAGTGTCAGTCAACAAGGCAAATACCATCTGATAATGATGTTCAGCTGGTAAATCGGTGCATCTTTCATTCATCCCAGTAGAGCTGCATCTAACAAACATAGACACTGAAACCGATACAGGGAATTTGCTTTTCAGCTCTCAAGTGCTTTTGTACTGTTGTCTTATCCCACTTATTTTTAATAGGTGACTGTAGAACAATGACTTCATAGCAATGGAGAAAGAAAAAGTACCTCCAATTTTTTCTAAAATACAAATGCAAGTATTTTTGTCTCAACAAAGACACATACAAATAGTGACCTCTACCAATCTCTCGGAGATAGATATCTCATAAATATTTCACGCACGGTAGAGTGGAAGGAGACGGGGAGGGGATAGTTTTGTCTGTCTCTACTCACTCCCGAAGTAGTGTTTTCCCCTCTGGAAAGCAAAGAGAATGACTTGGCTGTTTCCTGTCAACTTTGGAAGTCCCCATTTGTCATCACAGCTCCACTCTGTCTGAAAGAGAAAAGCTGTGAGCAGGCCAAGAAAAAACCTGAAATAGTCACCTTCAGACTTACTTAAGTTTATAAGTTACCAAAAAATGATTCTAAGCATTCAAATAGCCGTTACTCCTGGGAATATGTTGGATTGTCTCATTATCTTTAAAGCCATCTACATGAGAGATCAAGCTAAAAACAAATAATTAGAAAACACCCTATTCTTTTTTCTATCACTTCTTAATCACCCTTCTATCCACACATCTTATTTTGCTGTTTTTGTGTTCTGTGTTATTAGTCCTCCTCCTCCTCCTCCTCCTCCTCACTTGTCTTGTTTTTTTCCCCCTGCAGCACTGTGTCTGAAGAAGAAGTTGACCTGCAGTTTGAATCCACTCTGGAAGACCATGCTGTCCCTCCTGCTGCCCGCAATGCTGGCCGTCCAAGCTATGGGTGGGTGTCGCCCCTGCCCGTGCCCTGCCCTTAGATCTGAGTCACCGCAGTGGGAAATGCCACTTTCTGTTAAACAATACGTCCTGCAGGGCCTATTAGTCTTCCCTCTTCAGAGGCTTCACTGGACAAAACAACAGTTCAATTGAGGCTACTCCCAAATAGTAATGTGCCAATAGCTGGAAAGTTATAAACCCTCCCTGTTTAAACTCTCATCCATCCAGTCGAGTTGACAATGAACATATTCTTAATTATACAGATGTCCCTCCTCAGGGAGTAAAAGAACATTTTTCACAGTACTTCCTTTAAGTGTTATTGGAATGTGTTTTTTGTTTTATATTTCTCTTATTATTCCGCTTGTAAAACAGAATAGGTTTGACCTTTTCCAGACAGGTGAAGAGTGGAGCTTGGGGCAAGGGTGAGGCCCCTGATGAAAAGTGCTAGAAGTGCACTTTGTCTGCTGTGACTCAGGGAGTGTGATGTGGAAGTCATCCTCTTATATTTATTACACCGGGAAGAAGAAGGGTTGTGGTTGATGTTGCAGCTGAGGATTCATAACTCACGCACTCAAAAGTTTTACTTCAGTAGAAATGGTGCTCCAAGAAAAACTTGTGTCATCATAAAAAAAGAGACAGATAGCCTGCGCAGGCTTGATAATTTCTCAAGACACGGTAAATAAAAGAAGGAAATTGAGCATGTCAGAAGGGGGGTTGACAGTGCATATATTTGAACACCTTTTTCCCAGTCGGTGTGTGGATGACACATAATGTGAATTAAAATCTCATTCTCATAGTGGATGATATTCCTTTTATTATTACTGCATAGTCTGAAGAAGAAGTAGGAGGAGGAGGAGGAAGGCAGCTCTGAAAGGTTTCTTCTGCCTGGCAAACATAGAGGCTCAGCATACTTTGGTGAATCCAGAAAGTAAAAGAACTTTTATCATCCAAAACACCGTCATTTTCAACCAAGAGCTATTTTTCGCCTTTTCTGCTCTCTGGTTGAGCTGACACAACCTCCTATCGGCCATCAGTGGCACATTTCAATCTTGACTCAGTGGACCTAAGTGTCTTCAGTGGTTCATTAGGGACCTATTCTTTCCCAGCACAAATGGGCCTGCGGCCTGCTCATTACTGCCTGTGTGGCAGCCACTGCCTAACTTGCTCCTCTCACCGGGAGGGACGAGGAGGAGGAGGTGTCGGGGACTGATGGAGCTCTTTAACTCACGGGTAATGGGCTATTGTAGCTCACACAATGATTCCGTTTCTCTCTGCTAACTGGAGCACTAAGTGAATTAGTTGGAGTCTAGTTTGATGCTATAGTGTGCTAATGTAACACTGTATGATGACACAAAAATACTGCATGCTAGAACACAGACGAATCTAACTTTATTTTTCATCCTGTGTTAATTAACATATTGTGTAGTTAGTGCAGTGGCATGTACTTGATGACATTGTGGGCCCTTTATATTTTTTTACCAGAAGGGCAACAGTAATTATCTAGGTGACTAATTAAAGGTCAATTTGGTTGCCTTTAGACTTATAAAGAGCCACTTTTGCATCTATTGGCCACACAAACAGAAACTCTACAGACTTGTGTAATAATAATGTTTTCGTGTGCATGTCTGTGTTCATATGATTCAGGGTCACCTAGGTCTCCAGGTCCCTCACTGGGATTGCTGGCTATAATTTTCCTTGTATTCAGCCGCGTCATTGCTGGATAACTCCAGCAAGTCCCCATATCAGTAGACACGATTACACTTTGTGGTCTCTGTCGACACACTTCCTATCACGAGAACAGTATTTGTGCAAGAAAAACACAAGGACAAGCACATGACAGCACTGTCATCCCAACGCAGTAACATTGTCTCTGTGGCTCCCAGCTGTATCCTGACTCAGTACTCAGATGATGGATCATCCTTAGTGAAACCTCTCCCTGATGTTACTCATACAGAACTGCACAGCTGTTGTGTTACTGCAGCCATGAAGAGGCTTGTCTGTTAGGGGTTGCTGTTTTTTGTGCTTAAACGCACTATTGAGGAAGCATAAGTGAGGAAAATGTGCTACACCCACCCAGTCTGGCTTTCACCCTTGACCCTACTGGTTGCTTATTATAGCTTAGGTTTATTTTTATCACGCTCATTATTACCCAGAATGGTTTTAAATGTCAGCAAAATGCATGAAATGTCAATGTATGTGTACAGTAATGACTGAGCAGCAACAGTAGCCGAGTACAGTAACATTCTTGGCTCACTACAGCACAGCATACAGCAGTGTCAGCCAGTGGCAGAGCTAACAGGAGGATGTCTAGCTAATTGCTTGTTGTTGTCATACTCTCTGTTCAGTTAGCACAGCCACTAGGCTGCCAGAGTGCGCCGTGTGCAGCTCTTAACACCCAAACACTGAAAGAGAATTGTATTCATGCAAATGCAGAAATGGAAAGCTGACCCGATTTCACTTTCAGTGATGGGAGCTGTAAGGTAATTCAAATTAATTAGCATAATTGGATAGATGGCATCTATCGTAGTAGTCGGCAGGCGCACATTATGGCGGGGCTCCAGAGCATGAAAATAGCCCGCTCATGCCTGCATCTCTGGTGTACTTTTTAAAGGTCTGCTAACTATGAATGCCCTCTTCCTGTCCTCCTTTTCTCTTCACAGCAATTGATTCTGCAGAGAGGGGACACTTTAGCCTGTGCAGAAATTCAATTTAGGGTTATTACCCCATATCAGTGATGTTCTTGCTAATTTGATTGCGTCCAGTGAAGTATCCTTTTAAAAACAACCGAGGACAGGCTCAACAAAGATTGGTTTCGCCGCAATGCATACATAATGACCAGTCTCTGTTGGCTTGCCTCCGTCTCACCGCTTCCCAGCTCTTCTTTTCTCACAGTGCGCTCATTGAAACAGAGTGCATTACCCACCAAGCACCTCATGATTATTTCAACAAGTCCTAAAAATGCTGCCTTGTGGGATCGTTAAAAAATTGATACGGTTAATATGCCGAGATTGCAGTTCTGGAGGGGAAGAGGGGCCCGGAGCCATATGTGGGTCTGCTGTGCGCCTAGTGGGCTGTGATGCATGGGTTGAACGGATGCTGATCTGTGCTTGGAAAGCATCACACAGCTACAGACTTGCTGAGGAAGCAAACCAGCGGATGACACAGGGAGACACCTACCTCCAGGGTGTTGCCTCTGTGAAGTGGCGGTGGTGATGTCAGGCACGGGAGGCTCCAGACAACGCGCAGCTGGTGACAAAGTGGCCCTTGCTTAACCTCACATCACTGCTGGTGCATGAAACCATGAATCAGCAAAGGATATGGACTTGTGAAAGAGCCAAAACATTCATTTCATGAGACAGCAGATGCAAAACACCTGCCTCATCCGAAGGATAAAAAAAAACACTTTGTCTTTCTCGTCAAGTCTTCCCGGCTCCTCTGTAATGATGGCCATAGTATGTACACCTCAGTGTTATCATGTCATTATTAGACATTAGCTGCACTCAGGTCAGATCTGACCCCATGACCCTCCTGCTACCTTGGGGTGCTACCTCATCCACCACCCCCACTCCTGCCTTTCCAATCCCCAGCCTCCTGCTCATCAAAAGCTCCCTGTCTGGCTTGTAAGCCAGAAGCTTGCCCTTATCTGCCCGCTGTTCTTCAGCCGGCACTATTATCTGACTGCCGGGAGCCCATTAACAGGTTATCGACGGGATATGAGATGGCATACATCTATGAAGGAAGCAAGACAGAGAGAGCAGAGATAGAGAGCAAGAATGAGAGCGAAAAAAAAAAAAAAAAGACCAAATAACACAATAGTGAGACTCATCTTGATTTATGACATTGCTGAAAATAAGCAGAGTCCTTGTCTTCCCTATCTGCCATCACCTGTATCTCTCCCTGAGTGAGGGCACTCACACTCCATGATGAGTTCCCGGAGCAAAAATGGGAAAGGAAGCGATTATGCCCAGAGCTTAATGTTGAAAGTGACCCCTTTACACCGCGGATGCCTTTAAGTCTCGTTTAATCTCATCCATATTGTGGCTCTTTCACCGAGGGGCCATTTGAAAAGCCCAAGACACAGACTCTTTTTCCGATTGCTCATTTTGAACCAAATCATGCTTACTACTCACATACTCCCATCGCTCCCTTAATGTTTTCCAGATGCATATTTCTTTCGAATGGGAGTATCATGGACATCTACATCTGCTCCTGACAGCATGAAATCAAAAGCTAGCTTTCCCCTCAGACTTTTACAGGGATTGGTTATATCATAAGAATAATCGCTATGAAAGGGCTCACAGATCCTTTGAGCAAAACCCTTTGATGTTCAGGTGGTGCAAAATGTCCAGAATGAAAATGTGTTGAGCTGCAGTTACGTTCATCAACAGAGGGGGGCAGTGTTGTAAAAGCATATTTCTCCTGCCTTTCTTCTTGCCCGACTAAACCCCGCTGTCCTTGCAGCCTGTTAGTATTGCACCTGTTTACTTTGCTGTGTCAATATTGCCCCCTTCAGTGCTGCAGCTTGATTTTCCTTATTTATGAAATTATTTTAATATTTGCTCCCATGTCGTATGTTTCAGCAGGGTTTTGGACATACCCTTTAAGCGTGTACTTGCTCTGTTTAACAAATAGCTCCACTGATTGTGTAAATAGCTCTGTTTACTGTGTGTTATTGAACTGTCACCATTGTTACTTTTATAGAGAGACTGTGTGGTCCTGAGCGTTGTGTGGTTGTGGTTGGTGTTGAACTGAGTCAAGTTGGAGTGAAGTTGTATTGCTTGCTGAACTGGCCGCCTTGAATTGGTATTGAATTTGCATGTAAAAATGCCTGTGTGCATGTGTGCTGGACATCAACATATGAACCGCATCTGACGGCAGTGAATTGTAAAAAGAATCCATGCAGATAAATGCAGAAATTACCAACTATAACAGTGACGTGTGTGTGTGTGTGTGTGTGTGTGTGTGTGTGTGTGTGTGTGTGTGTGTGTGTGTGTGTGTATTTTTGTG